AAAAAAAAAAAAGCCTATATCTGCTCAACCTTCTACAACTACATCTATCAATTTATAGGAAATACAGTGGACAGAGGAACATGTTAAATTACATCACAGGCGTATAACTAGCAAATACTTAACCGTAGGAAATTCTACAGAACAAGTGTCATCCCGTTTTCACAAATACAGTCAATCTCAGGGCTAAATGTGGTGGCTCATGCCTGTAATCTCAGCTACTTGGGAGGCTGCGGTAGAAGGGTTGTTTGGGCCAACAGTTGGAGATAGCCTGGGCAACAGAACAAGAACCTGTCTCTAAAAAATGTGTATTAATTTGAGTGGGTGCAATGGCTCATGCTATAATCTTAGCATACAGTCAGCCTTAGCAAGACAAGACCCTGTCTCTATAAGAAAGAGAAAAGTTAGCTGGGCATATTGGCATGCACCTGTAGTCCCAGCTACTTGGGAGGCTGAGGCTAGAGGATTGCTCAAGTCTGGGAGTCGGAGGGTAAAGTGAGTAGCACAATTGTAGCCTGGACAACTCCTTTCAGCCACAGGTGCCACCTGAGAACTTGTTTCAAAAAAAGAAAAAAGCACTAGTGTCTTAACCCATTCGTTGAGTGCAAAGTCATAGTGTAGTGAGAAAGATCATGAGTAAACACACCAGGGTTCAAACTTGATTTTGATATTTAACTGAATAGTATGAACTTTTCTGTCCCTTCATCTTTAACATAATGGCCATTATATACTTTGTAGGATAGTAAGCATTGGGAGTAATGTTTTAATGTATATAAAATAGTATATTATAAATACTATTTATAGGCTCAGCACCTATGGCTCAAGTGGCTAAGGCACCAGCCATATACGCCTGAGCTGGTGGGTTCGAATCCAGCCCAGGCCCACCAAACAACAACGGCTGCAACCAAAAAAAAATAGCTGGACACTGTGGTGGACGCCTGTAGTCCTAGCTACTTGGGAGGCTGAGGCAAGAGAATTGCTTAAGCCAAAGATTTGGTGGTTGCTGTGAGCTGTGACACCATGGTACTCTACCCAGGGTGACATAGTGAGACTCTGTCTCAAAAAAAAAAATAAATGCTCAATATATAAAAACCCAGCATATAACCATTAACCTGAATAACCCAATCCATGAAGAACAGATAGTATCCCTGCCTAATTCTTCTTCGCTGATAATTCCTTCTTTTTCTCTTCATCTTCTTCTCTCATTAGTTGATTTATGAAGACTGTATGGATCTGATTGCGAAGCTACCTTGTGTTGCAGCAAAGATCTACCGGAATCTCTACCGAGAGGGCACCAGTATTGGGGCCATTGACTCTAAGCTGGACTGGTCCCATAACTTCACCAACATGTTAGGCTATACTGATGCACAGTTCACTGAGCTCATGCGCCTGTACCTCACTATCCACAGGTGAGCTAGACCCAGCAACCATAGCCACCAGGAGCCAATTGGTGGGAATTTTTTTTTAAGCTCCTTCATGTTCTCATCTTCTGGATGGTAGGCAGCAAAGAGATGGAAATTGGCGTAAGGGATGATACAAGGCAAAGAAGGGGTCTGGTTAGGAAAGTCAAGAGGCCTAGGGAAATTACAGTAGGCTAAGAACAAAATGGGTCTTCTAGCTGAGAAAGGGTCCTAGCTGTTCACTTTAGGTGGTCCTTCAGCTTTCTAGGAGCTCCCTCTTCTGTCTGGCCATCGCTGTTAGAGCTGGGTGGGAGTCAGGGACTTGGGCTCACAGGCATCATCAGCTGGTAACCTTTCAGCTCTGTGGATTAGTGAACAAAAACTGGTAATGAGATTAGGATGTCTTTTCCAAGAGTTTAGGTATAACTGACTGACTGGGCTAGTCCATAACTGGGCTAGTATGTGACAGATAGAACTACAGGTCTGTGTTTTCTATAATCTTTCCTTTTCTTTCTCCCCTTGGCTCTCCCTTCTTTCTTCCCCACAGTGACCATGAAGGTGGCAATGTTAGTGCCCATACCAGCCACTTGGTGGGCAGTGCCCTTTCAGATCCTTACCTGTCCTTTGCAGCAGCCATGAATGGGCTGGCAGGGCCTCTACATGGACTGGCAAATCAGGTAAGGTGATTCTTTCTCTTGTCTCGCCACATGTTTTTCTTACGCCTATACTTTGTTCCTGATCTCAGCATTCTCTCCTGGCATAAAAATTGACATTCCTTGTTCCCCAAACTTTACCCCATAGGAAGTGCTTGTTTGGCTAACACAACTACAGAAGGAAGTTGGCAAAGATGTATCAGATGAGAAGTTAAGAGACTACATCTGGAACACACTCAACTCAGGACGGGTAAGCAGATATGTGAATGAGAGAGGTCCCCAAATTAGAGAAGGAAATTCCCCTCCACCCCGTTTGTCTACCCTGAAGAATTTAGAAACAAATTTCTTAGCCAGGCATTGTGGCAGGCACCTATAGTCCCAGCTACTAGGGAGGCTGAGGCAAGAGAATTGCTTAAGCCCAAGAGTTTGAGGTTGCTGTGATACCATGGCACTCTACCCAGGGTGACAGCTTAAGACTATCTCAAAAAAAAAAAAAAAATTAGGGGAGGGGGAGGCTGGTTGCAGTGGCTCACACCTGAAATCT